GCAGATCATGATTTCGACGCCATTCTTCTTGATTACGACCACGGTTCGTGACGCTCAACAAGAGGAAAACGCTAAAATGGTCTTCGCTGACAGTAGTCTATTGATCAGGTCTGACAGCTTCCCGCGAGACTGTGGCACAACCTCCCTCGCACGTTGACGCACCGGTTTGGCATCTCCAACGTCGACATTGCAAAAATGACTTGCACAGCTGGTGGCAATGCATTACGCTTTTCGAGTAGTAGATGCTGGCTGCTCTAGATGATCCGTCGCAGTCGATCGATGGCTACTGGAGTGTTATTTGCGTCATCGTCGATGTTGATGTCCTCCATCTACACTTCTTCCGTGATGGTCGTTACTTCAGAAAAGATCGCTACATGATTCGCCAAGTCTTCGGCAAAGGGCTCGCCTTCTTCGCTTGTGTGGACGTACCCGTCGTCCGTTGGTTGACTTGCTGGCGGTAAGCTTTCTGCTGGTTGAAACAGTTCAATCGAAGACGACTGCATTTCCTGTGGGTCAGCTGATTGTCGATCTGGAACGATCGCGTCTGTCGATGACACCACTACGTTGCATTCTCCGTCGCCAGCAATATATACAGACTCACAATCGGGTCAGTCACTGACGTAAGCGATGTCTCAACTGCGTCCTTTGAACAATATACCTTCAAGCCTGTGCGAAGAGTCGTTTGAAACTTTCAGGAGCCATTCCGGCGACGTTCCCATTCCAAGACGTGGCGATGGACCACATCTTGTCTCTACCGAAGTCGCACAAAGGCAATACGGGACGATAATATGGGTGAATCTGTTCACCAGTGATGTGGCCAAAACTAGCGCGTCGAGGACCACGCAGACGATCACCGAGAATAACGACGAGCGGGTTTCCACGATCCGGCGCGAGGAAAGGGGTACACCATGGTTGAGAGCCAAGCCTCATGTCGTACTTTTTCAGCGCCTTCAACCACATCGCGAGAAAAGACAACGCACTACCATGGTGTACCGCCCGCAGTCCAACAGCATTGTAGGGCGAATGGTACAAACGTTGACGAGGGCTTTGATGTATGTAGCCATAGATCAGAAAGATTGGTACAACGTATGCAGAACGCTTGATGTTTGCCATCAGCACGGCTTACGATCACGTTAGAGGCGACACCCTATTCTACTTGGTACATGGGTGGGACACGAAGGCGACGTTAGATACGACGCTACCCGCCACCACGAATGCGAGGCCCGCAAGGAGTGATATAACATCCAGCGACGATACTTCCAGGCACGATACCATGTCAACGAGGCGTTGTGAGGTGCGGTCGAGAGCAGCGCGACCAGACATAATGAAAGTGTGCGTCCACACTTCATCAAAGCAGCTGATAAGGTGTGGCTTATTTGGATCGTGTTAAGGAAGGATACGCTCGGAAGCTGGCACATTTGTGGCAGGGGCCTTTAGGGTTACCGAGGCGATGGATCGATACGCAGCGCGGCGAGAAACCACAGGGACGGTGTACCAACTCTTCTCCGCCGTTCATGCGTCGAATCTCAAATGAGAGGAGTCATATGGAACATTCAAACGACGCTACGGTGTCGCGAATTTGGATTGCAGTTGATGACGGATGATGATTGGCTGCTCATGGATGATGATACTCCTGCCGCACCCGTATAACACGGATGAAGGCTGGGATATGCGAATTCTGTGGAAAATATGTTGGCGACTGGATGCAGATGGGTCAGGAACTACCTGGAAGGTGTGCCGCGTAAAATGCATATTCAGGAAAGTAAAGAGGCGTCTCAGTCTAGGCCCGGACCTCCCTTGCGAGGAGCACCTAAAGGCTGGTGGATAGTTATCCTGGAGAATGTACCCCAGGATGACCTCTTATCGCTGTTGTTCCATCTAATAAGAGCAGTAGCATAT